ACGGTATGGGTAGCTTGCTGCGGCACACGGTCCTCTCTATCGGAATTCGTCCATCCTACTATCTCAGCATAGGTCGGATCAGCATGATGGAAACGGAAGTGTGGGAGGCAGCTGGACGATGGTTGTTCTCTCAAGAGGAGTGGTAACTACGTGGACAAGTTTGTTGGAATTCACGCTGGTTCTCTCAGCTGAGCTCGGGAGTGTCCTCACAAAACTCGACGAGAACTCCCCGAAAATCCTTCAGAATTTTCATACTGTTATCAACAGATGTAGCTGAGCATGCATAAATCTTCCCACCCTGTCCACTGGACATTGATTGTCAAGAAAGGCCCCCCTCCCAGGCCTACTAAATGATATCTATCCTCCTCAATCCTTATCCAGAAAGCACCAGTAAGAGTCCCTTCCTGTTTGCATCGACTACACAACTTCGATAATGCATCGATACAAGCTGATGCCTCCATCATACCATCAGGGAAACTATCTACAGCTAACCCGCCGTAGTGATCCGTATGATACCTAGATGGTGACTACTAGAAACTACCAGTGTGCAGTAGCATTACGATAATCCCGTCTCTTCATCCACCCCAGCTTGCCGCACCCATTTCACTCGAGGGGCCATCCCATACTTATCTATATTGTCCGGCTCTCGGACTGAGTCCACCCTTATCTGCGTACCAGCTAAGGTACCGTTACATGACGTTACTGTGCTATCACAGCTCATAGGAATAGAGAAAACTACTGCCACTATGAGGGTCCGACCACCACTAAAGTGAACACCGCATATCGAATGAATTGGGTGGTCCCTTGAATAGTTAGTGTTCACGGCGCTCACAGTTACGTCAGTGCAGAAGTCTGTTCGTTCTGTATAACCGGTGAACTTAGCGCAGGGGAGTTATCGAAAGAAGTCCTTCTTCAACTCAGTACGCCCGACTTCCTCGACTTTCCTCTATATTCATCGGATCTATATTCGAGTATTATGCGAATACTGACAGTGCTTCCCTGATGATAATGTACAATGTTGGAGAGTGCCTGCGATTTTGGATACACCATCTTAACGATGGAATGTCTCCTGTCTCATAAACCCCACAGAAACTGAGACCGGTAGTAGGTCGATAGCCAACGACAGTGGCAATCCGAGATAGATAGATTTCCCGGTGAGTTGAACGCTGTATAAGAAGACTACAACTAATCATCATGCACCAATACAACAGTTGTGTGGGTAGTGCAGTAACACTATATATGTTGAAGAGCCTCATAAAAGGATTCCATGTCAGTTAGTGAGATTATCACATAGCCCGAACACATGTTGGTAGTGATGTTGAGCAGATACTGAGGATAGTAGTTGGTAAGGAAGCCCAAGAAGAAGGTGTGGTACAGACATCGACCTTGGATTTCAAACCTCGAGAGCATCACTGCCGCACTCCCTGCACACAACACATGCCGACGAGTTATACTCTGCATACCTCCTGCTTGCCGTCTTAATGTCCAACATGCCCCTGTCAATGGCCCTGTGGCTGATGAGGAGTCGTATTCGAACAGAGAACCCTAGGACGATGAAGACTGCAACAAGTTTCACTAGTAGAGATGTAATCTACCAAGGTAAACCTTCTGTATCGGTTTTAATCTTGTCCATCTCCCAGCCAATACTGATATAAGTGAATTCACAACTATACCCCACACCCTATCTATATACAGGGTGTTTGCATACATAGGACCATACCACCCTGCATACCCTATACAACCGTTCCGACTAGGATACCTGCTCCTCCCCAGAGCTCAACAGGCCACTCATCACATCAGAGGTAGCAATCAGCTCAATCCCAACTTCAACGCGAGCATTCTCAGTATAGGAAAATAATACACGCGTTCTGGTATGTATAAACGGGGAGGATATGTACAGTATAGTGAATGATGAGAAACAATAGAGAGATGTTGGCAGCAGGGAGGATGGGAAAATGAGGGCATTGAATGGGTCATAGCCACCTTATGTACTCTTAACCTTGGCATCAGCTTTCTTGCCTTTCTGTATCTCCTGCAATGCCACCTAAAGCACGTCCCTTCAGCACATCACCAGAATAGTACATCTATACTACTACTACCTTATACGCATGCTCCACCCTAGACTGTAGATAAGGACTGCCATAGAAATCAGGGGGATTGGGGTTATTCAAATCATATAGTTTCTTGTAATGCTGATACCCAGAACCATACACATCCCTACCACGACCAAACATCATTCTACCTCTGCTAGGATATCCCTAGCCTCAGCATTATGTATCTCAGCGCTGTCTATCCCTAATATCTTATGAGCCTCTTCGACTGGCATCTTCCGTTTAGCAGCCCTAAGCGGTTGTATTATCATAATGACGAGGGCAGCAAGCATTACGCCATCGTTGCTGCCTGTGCGGCTTGCTTAGCAGCATCCCTGTATGCACTCACGACGGCTCTCCCTACCATATTACCGGCTACTGACGCTATTCGAGTCACCAACCTGACCACAATATAGTAATCAGCAACTACGCCTCTCATAAGGAGTATGGTACCGAGCCAATGGACCGACAGCCATGATGACGTATCACGGGGGAGGGGAGGAACAACCAAACTGATTGGACTGAACTGGAGAATACCAACCAACTCGGAACTAGGAAGGTACTACAACTAGAGGAAATCGAATTAGATGTTGGTAATGGTAGGTATCATACAACAGTGTCTTGATAAGTATTCCAAACCGATAAGCGTCCATCAGTACTAGCCGCTACAAAACGGTTATCTGGTAGAAAAGTAACTTTGGTGATGCTGGCGTCGTGGGATCGAGGGAGATCTCCTAAGAGCGTACCTGTAGATGGTGACTGTAGATGTGACAGCCTCTTGTTATGGTCAGGTATCACGTGTCTTAACATCTATTAGGGTAATGCGGCCGTCCCAGAGGCCAGCAGCGAGCAAACGTAGGTCACTCCTTACAGCCATACTTCCAATACCGACACTACCCTCTTCAACATGCAAGAAGTTGTTGCTACTGCCCATGCCAACCTAGGGATCAATATCATCATAGTACCGGGATGGGGTTACCTCTTCAATGGAGTATTCCTCGTCCACCCTCCCAGCTGCAAGCATTGATATATAACTGTTGGATGTGCCGACCCAGAGTTCATTGGCCAACCTCTCCATACAGGTTACTGTACTACCACCCCTAGTCTTCATCTCATGGGGATGGCTTTCGGCACAAGGATGATCAAGGCTTCGAGTATCGAATAGCGCTACGCCTATTGATGGATATCATCAAACATACCAAAGAGGGCGGCCACTTCCCTACGTCCAGATTCATATACTACGACCAATCCGTTGCCTTCTTCATCGTCCAACTGCCGAACCGCTACCGCTGATCCTGCTCCTTTGGGGGTAGTGGTTGAGCTCTCACAAGAGGATGGTGCCCTAATTGACCATAGGCGACTAGAATATGGTATTATTACTATTACTGTAATACACCAGCAACAACTCCTGTGCGAGAATCGATTATTCCTATATCGCTTTCGGTGAGGGGGCATGCTATAGTGGAATCCCTCAGAGGCACCGCCTTACAGAAGGTGTACGCCTTAGGTATAGGGATGGACCAGATCGGGGCTGTAGGACTATGTGGTGTTGTTGATGTTGATGAGTGTAACGACTACTACCTTTGCCTGATTGATGGGCCACATCCCAAAGTGATAGAGTCTTTGCTTTAGTCTGCACTCCTATTCTATGGCTATCCTCCACCCCTGTTGGTTCGACCAGACCGATTACAGGATCAACTCCGGTACTGATAGAGACAGATGGTCTCCTTGTGACCTACTAAGATCCTCGATAATAGTAGGATTACGTAAGTATTACCATATCCCAAAGCCGTAGATATCCATCACTACTACCACTCGCTATACTCCCTCCATCACCAACAGCTACTACATCGTTAACTGCTGATATTGAGTCACGAGGTCGTAGAGTGAATAGAGGACCACTAGGCACCATCATAATGGACCGACGACACGACTTTCAATGAATGAGGGGGGGCGAGATTGAGGAAGTGCAAGAAATGCAAGATGATCATTCAAGTGCTTCTCAGCGGCCTTTGGCAGTAATAGTTTGAACAGACAAAACTGTAGCAGGGATAGTCCCGTTGAGCAGTATGGTACTACCACAGTTGTGGGAAACGTTCTAGAGACTTATTGGAGACAACTCAGGCATTGGTGGTGATATCCT